TTGTTATACAGTCAAGTTACTAGTGTTTGGCTTGCGTTTGGAATACTGCGCTGTCAATCCGGCAATGGATCCGTTCCGGTCATGTGACCTGGTTTCTATTGCCTCTTAGACAAGTAACTTCCCAGGAAAGGACTAAGTTGAATCGCGCAATGCTCACATTTCTGAAAATACGTTACTTAGACTGTGAAAACGTGGTGAAAATTCTAATACGCACTTTATCCTGTATAAATATGTTCACAACGCTTAACCAGTGCATAAAATACTAGGACAAACGGCCTCCTCACACAACAAGCTACAAGCAGCTGGGAGGGAAGAATGATCTCAAGACGAAAGAACCTTCAGTCCGGATAGCCGTCACTCAAGGAGCCAGTCAACACATAGCCACGTGGTGTGAATTCCGTGACTACAGGATCGACCGGGGCCAGTCAATCATTCTGCTGATCAGCCTTCCTCGTGATCAAACGGTTCAGTTTTCAATTAATAGCTAGAAATTCGAATCGTCCGTGAGATACCCACTGCCGATGATTCCAAATAAGGTTGAAAGGGTTTTCGGCACAGAATGGCTTCACCTACAGAACAAAATCTTCACCGAGAAATTCTCACATCTTGCTAAGAGTTGGACACCACGCTGTTCTCTTGATTACTCACTGAAAGCCCAAATAAATTCGACACAATTTAGTACTATTTGGAGAAGTTGTGATAGAACAAGTTAGTAGAACAGTTGAAACAAGTCCGTTAGGGGGACACTTGAGGGGGGCTGTGTCAGTGAAGCTTTGAGTACGTTATGAAGTAGAAAAGATGGTGAACAAAAAATAAACTGTNTTAGTACTATTTGGAGAAGTTGTGATAGAACAAGTTAGTAGAACAGTTGAAACAAGTCCGTTAGGGGGACACTTGAGGGGGGCTGTGTCAGTGAAGCTTTGAGTACGTTATGAAGTAGAAAAGATGGTGAACAAAAAATATACTGTTTCACTCACCTAGACAGGGAAAGAGAGGTGTGAAGATTGAAGTGCCTAGTAGCCAAAAAAAAAGAGAACAAAGCAAATCAACCGGGACCACAAGCATTCATTGGTTGCTTCTGCGGAAATGATTACCCCCGAATGGATCGGTCTATCTGTTTTTTGGTATACCTAGTTAGAATGGATATTTGGCTATTGAAATATAGACGTAGAAAGAATGTTGAAATACGAGCACGTTCTGTTTGAGTTGCCATTGTGTCTGTGCAGTACTTGGTTCACCCCAATCGATTCGTTTCAGTTCATCGACTGGAAGAGGGTACCTGTAGCACGATACGCGGAAGAACAGATAGAACAGGTCCCCTGACGGGTGCTGTTGTCCACCGTAAGTCACTTGAGTTTCATTTGACGCTGCTCTCAGTTCAGCAGTTAGAAAACTGTCTTCAGCCATTGTGTTCCATACTGGGGTCAAATAAACCACACCGTCGTCGGCTCTGTAGTTTACCGGAGTGTTGGGGGCTTTTTCCAGTAGACGGTAGAGACAATTGGATTGTTGAATCTAGGGTAGAAATTAAGATGAAAAAAGATGAATTTCGGTCTCGTCCGACTGGTACTAGGACTTTTGAATTGCTTGACGGTTCTCTTTCAAACCTTGTCTTTTAGGAGGTTCATAAATTCGTTTGACAACAGTGTTTTCGGTAATATGGGAACTAACGTTTTCAAAAGGACACTTCTCGCTTACAAGACGTTGAATTAAAAGGCAGACAGAAGCGACGGTCTCAGCATCATGAAAGCGGGTGATCAATACAGGGATCTGGTTGGCTGGTTTGTGTTGAAGTCAAGGTCAGAGGGCCAATGTTAGCGTAGCCATGTCTGTGTACACTACGGCTGGGTTAGCACTAAACAGTTGAATCGGTAAGTTAATCGGTGCCAAAAACATGAGGTTGAAGCTCTGTTCAGGCCGTTCTGGTTGGCGAGCCCTCTTCGGTGTGGTGACACTATAGTCCGAACTAGTACAGTCTCCATTCCCATCTCCACCGGTTTTAGTTATACTAGGGTGTTTGGCGATTTCCACGACGTGCGCGATCTGTCACCGTGGTGATAATGTTCAGACTTTTCACGTCTTCCAAAACTACTCCATACTTTATCTCTGACACGTGTACGTCATAACGTCAAATATGCTTTCCCACATCCTGGAAAGTTGTAGGGTATTCTCTCATGCTCACTAACTCTGGTGTGAACATCTGAAGCTATGATGCGGCTACATGCAAGGTACACATGATAGGGAGAGTAGTATGGGCGATTCTGTCAACAATGGGTGAATCTTCATTCGGACCAGGGTCATGCGTTAAGATTTTCTTTTACCTTTGAAACTCCTGAACTTAGCTAAAATACCTCCCATCAGTGCAGAATAACGGATGTCCCAACACCTTTTTCAATGGGTTTTCTCACGACGAAGTGAACTAGTTACCCACTTGGATGAGTGAAGCTTTTGTGTGAAAAGCAAAGTAAAATTTCTGTCAACAGATTCATGTTTTTGGTAAGTCCGAACAATCCAGTTCGGACGTTTGTCCCTACCGATATCCGTCATCCCACATTTGAAGTCCCACGGCTGAGTGGAAAACAGCTGTCAAAATCAGCTGATACTACGAATGTCACTGCTTCTAAGCACATGGTGAGAGAAGCGTCTTGAATCACAGATGTCATTTCCATACCCCACAAAACCATTGCTGACAAAACAAGACCAACTCACCTGATTCCAATCTACCACACGCAGTTTCACTCGGGAACCAGTTGCTCGTCCGTGGATAGGTGTTGGGAAACTGACGATGAGGTAGTCTATTGTGTCCGCGTATTTTGCCCCATGGGGACAAGGGAGTTTGCTGTCTGTACATCGAATGCGACAAGATCTAGCAAAGCAGAGTTGGATGCAAAATTCATAATCAGTTGACAGTGCTGTCGCCGATATTTTCAGGCTCAATGCTATGATCTGAATACTCGTTTGCGTACTGTAATCAGCTTGTTCTCACAAAGTAGTGGCTTGTAATCTGCTTTTGGATACATCATTGAAACACTAGCTTCGTTCGGCAAGTCCCTTCGTTCACCTGTGGCACCCTTTCGGTGTCTAGTCGCCCTGCCACACGAAGGAGGCACGAGGGCTGGGATACTGCCAGGTTGCCCAAGCCTAGACAGGAGAAGTCGAGAGGCAGAGGTCGGTTTCGAACCACGGACTTTCCGGTCAGTAAATTCGCGCTCTAACCACTTGGTCCAACTCGCCCCAAGCAAGCCCCTAGCGTTTCGGAGTAATATCGATTCTCATCAGGGCCGGATGAATGTTCCCCGGGCATTCTGCCCTACACTATTTTACACTCATTATATGGTAAGATACTGTCCAGCACCGCCACAGTACATCACATTTTACTATAAAACACTATGCCAAACTGTGCACGACAAGTGGACCGCCTGTGAAGAACGTGGATCTACTGAGGAATTAGTTGATCTTTGACTCTAAGCTAGCCAGCTGCTCTGTGCAAGCCATAGTTACCTTTGAAGTGTGCTATGCAAACGTGCGAACAAAAGGAACACCGGCCATCACATACCTGCTCCGATGATCAAAGATGTAATCTTTCTGGCATTTTTTCTGTACGCATGTATAGTTTCCCGGGACATTGAGGCAGAATTCATCAAATCGGCAAACAGAGGGTTTGAATGAACATTCGTCAACATCTGGAAGTGGACAAGACAGAGGAAGGGATAGGAATTAGAGAATAGAAGGTCGGCTGAGTTGGTCATTACATACACACATTAAATACTGAGATAAAATTGCCCTAGTTGCCGGGATTCCCTATTTACTAACCAAAGGTTACTACTTAATAAGAAAAGCTACCTGCTGAAGGTGAGTGATAACCTGAACAATCTAGGCACATTGAATGAGTTGGTTCAGAGGTGGGAGCACCACAGAACAGCATGTGCGGAATGCTTTTAAAGCCAATATTTGTTCTCGGTGTCAGGTTTTAGCTCATGTCTAGATTATGGAGAGTTTTAACGCCGGATTTCCTGCATGTTCACAGTGAAGTAGTAAGGTGGGTTGAACTTTTCACGTTAGTCACAGTCCCCTAGGAACATTTTTCGCCAGATACTGGGAGCGCGAAATTAATTGGTTCAGCCTTACGTTTCAAGCGATAATTTTCATAGGCATGTACATAATTTTAGATGGTAACCATAGAATCTCAATGTTTGCCAAAATAGTCATTTTAGGTGCGTTTGTGCGTTTGAGCAACCGCCAAATCCCATCTGGATCTCCCGATTGAGGTAGTAGACAATTTTTTTTTACCTGGACGCCTGCATCAGTCCCGGTGGTCTCGCGAAAGACGATATTTCCATCCGGATTGGGAAGGTCAGAGCAGCTCTTGTGAACCTGTGTCATCTCTGGCGTAGGCGTGACATCAGCTTCTCTGTCAAGGGTCGAGTTTACAATGCTGCGGTGCGCTCCATATTACTATATGGATCAGAAACCTGGCCGCTGCGCGCCGAGGACGTCAAAAGACTTTCAGTGTTTGACCATCGATGTCTTCGGAGCATTGCCCGAATCTGGTGGGAACAACGGATCAGCAATTCTGAAGTACGTCGAATGGCATTTGGGAGAAATAACTCACCCTCGATAGATGAACTGATCACACTGCATAGGTTGCGCTGGCTTG